GAAGCAATCAATCCACCATAAGTGAAACTCATTCATTAATTATTTCCTACTGCAAGTGATGATGCCTTGGATTTAATGTATCGTTTATTAAAATTTAATCCAAACAAAAGACTCACAGCTGAAAAGGCATTAGCTCATCCTTATTTTTCAAAGTAATAAATAATAAATAGAAATAGATTTCATAATGAAATAGATGAGCCATCATCAGACAAAGTTATCACACTAGCTATAGATGATAATTAGAAGTTCTCAGCAAATGAATATAGAGATAAATTATATGAAGAAATTGCTACTAGGAAAAGATATAGTATTAGAAATTATGAAGATTTAAATTCTTAATTACATTCTCCACCACCTATATCTGAATCAAATTAAATAAGGGATAGACCATAAACTTAAGAAGTCAAATCATAATAATAACAATAATAATAAGATAGTGCTAAATTATTAGATTCTGCTAAGTAATAAGATTCAGCTAAATGTTATGATTCTGGTAAATAGGATCCACTTAAATAAAGAAATTCAGGAAGATCCAATTCGAAATAATCAAAATTTGTATAATCTGCATTAAATGGACTTATCAATCCTAGATAAAGTTCTAAACCAACTAAATAATTCTTACAGACTTAACAATAACCTAATAAAACTTATGCTCCTTCTTTTCCTAATACATCATCTATAACAATTTAAAAGAATGTCTCATATACTCAAACAGAACCAAAAGTAACATCTCAGCAACTCTATTAATAATATTATAAATTATTAAATGCTGCCTAAGACAAGCTTTAAGGTAATTAAGAGTCTGCATAATCTTAATAAAAGGTCAAAAAAGGACTAAGCGCCTTATTTGGATCAAATTAAAATTTGATTAGATAATCTCAGAATAAACAGAAAAAGTGAACATATTAAAAATATTCATAATTGCATTATTTTTACTTAATCTTTTTTAGATTAACTTCGATTATTATTATTAAGCATTCTAAATATTAATAATTTTATATTGATAAATATTATTTCTATATTGAATAATCAAATTATGAGTTTCATTTTTAATTCAATTATATTAACATATATATATAGAACATTAATTTATAATATCATAAATATTAGGATTCTAATATATATATTTATAATTTTATAATATTTAATTAATGATTACCATTTGTAATGATGAATTGATGCCAAATAGATTATATCTTTTGAAATAAGAAAAATTAATTCTCAGGAATGAATAAGAGCATGGATTATCATTTATATTTCAATAAGAAGAAAGTAAAAAATTGAAATTAGGAGAATAACACATCTTTGATTGTAAACCAGGTAACCATTATCTTATATGCAAATAATTAAATCTAAAAGCAGAAGTTTATGTTTTCAATACTTAAATTGATAGAGATAGATTCTTAAGATACTAAGAAGAACTCTAAGCTACTAAATCTGAATAATAATATGATAGTGATGATGTAACCAATGAAAATTATGAAATTTTAAGTGAGGCTATAGGTATACTACCTTAAAAACAAAATAAATATATTAGATGGTAGACTGCAGATACATCATCAACTTATTATTCAAAAATTGAGAATCAATCAACAACTTCTGATGTTAGTGAATAATTATTACCTGAAAAAAGAGGAAAACGAAAAGGATCTGATCCTGTAATTTAAAAATCTGAGTTAATGATGCAACCTAAAATTCAAAGAGCAACAAATTAAATCAACAATTTACTTAAAATTCAATAATTTGTGAAGACATAATCTAGTTTATAATATGTTATGAATTAAGAAGAATTAAACAAATTGAAATAAAATTGGGATATACAAAAATTTATTAATGAATATTTGATTAATTAATATGCATATTAATGAATCTCAATTCTCATTTTATATGATTTATGATAATTAAGGATATTGCTAATTTAGATTTTTATATTCTTTTATTAAAGATGATATTTTATATCCTTCAATAGTTTTGAATTTTAAAGTAATGATTTTAATTTCATTGTCCAACATAAAATTTGAAATTTAAATAAACATAAAAATAGGTTCTACAGTAATTTTATCAATTTAAGCTAAATTGAAAGAACAAAGTAATTTTTTTCTTCCAGGACTTAACAGTTAGAACATATTATATGATATTCCTAAATATATATTAGGTAATTCATTTTAAAATATTGATTTTAAAATTTTATTTGTTTCTTCCTTTATATTGATACCTACATAGAAACTTACAACTCCCCAAAAAGGTATTTAGTAAGCTAAATTAATCATTGAAATCCTAGCCAAATTTTAGATATTTGTAAAAATCTATGGTTATTTTAAATCCAATTGTTATTCAGCAATTAATTTCTCATTTTATCTAACTAGATTTCTAATTTCAGGGTATATAGCTTTCAACTAATTTTTCACAAAATACTAATTTAATTAATATACTAATTACATTCCAAGTCTCATCTGTTTATGATTTTCTAATATATGAAAAAATAAGATTGTTCATAATTTCCTTATCCAATAAATTAGAGTGTTTTTCCTAATAATCACTTTCTTTATAAATTAAAATATATAATGAATAAATAATTGAATATGTTTTTGGACTTAAATGAGCAACTTTAACTTCTTTAAGAAATTCCTCTACTAGCAATTTTAATCTAGTTTCATCTTACTTATATAAATATGATTCAATAATCTTAGGAAAAAAAATGTATTTACAAAATTCTAATTAATAAGGTTCATCAAATAATGTGAAAAATTTCGAACTTTATTTTGGAAATATTTTTTTATGAGATGGAACTGATTATAATACAATTTAATTGTTTTCCAAGGATCTTTTATTTCCTCTTTCATCAGTTACAAATAATCTAAAATCATAAAATTCATAAAGTTAAATAGCATTAGCAATAATCTCACACATTTCCATAGCTTTTGTTAAATTATCTATTCTTACAATTATTTCACCTTATTTTTTTACTTTATTAATGATCCAACTTTCTACTTTACTATTAGGATCATTGATGATTTCTTCCTTTACTTATAAACATCTAGGTAATATCACTCTGATACTAAAAGAGATAATTTTATCATCTGATTTATTAATATAAGATTTTAACATATGTGAAATCTTTAATTCTTCTAAAAATTATTAATTTAATTTTTCAGCTAAAATATCAATTGAATCTTAATTCTCATTTATTATTGATAGATTCCTTGAAATTTTTAATCCACTTTAACCTCCCATAAATCTTGGTAAGATATTAAAATTTGTAGGTAAACCTAATTTAATTAGAATTTTTGATTTATATTTCTCAAATTTTTTCCATTAAAATATACTTTAAATAAATCCTTCGATATTAATTTTCAAAGAATCTAAGTATTTATTATTGTGAATTTATAACCAATTACTTTTTTGTAATTTTAATACATTATTGTTTGAATCACGCTTTTAAATATATTTATATATTGCAGAAATCTATGAATATCTCAAATATATTTTCCATTCTATATCTTATAATAAAATCTTAATAATATAAACAGTGTAATTTTAAAGAGAAGCTTAATTATATTCTTCTGTTCCTTCAATTCTTACTTATAATTAAGCTTAATCCCAAGTTATATCAGAATTGCCTCCACTTTCATCAAGCATACTCTTTTTTTCTTGAATAAATTTTGCAATAGTAATTCTAAATAGATTTTCTATTTTCTCTAATTATTTATTATCATTTGCAATAAAAATAAATACTTTTTATTTTGTTGTTACTTTAAACAATAACCCTTATTTAGAATTGATTTTATTGAATTCAGATGCAAGTGAAAATTCACTCATAGCTATACATTTCTATTTTGCACCAAATAGAGCAGAATAATCAAATTCTATTAATAAAATAGCATCACTAAAACATAATAATTATATGCTTTTTTTATATGTAGCATTTACATAATATTCAAGATTCTCTTCAAAAACAAAAAATCTTTTATTATTATTTATAATTAATTTATCATTTCCATATTATTTTTATACATCTATCATTTTTTATAAATTTTAAAATTCACCAATCTTTTCATTGTTTTTATCATTAATTTTCTCAAATACATTTAATAATTAACAAATATTCCTATAATCAGGATGTTCAATTTATTCATTACCATAAAATAAAGAACAACTATTTTAAGTTGGTGTATTCTTTTTTAATTCTTTTAATAGTAAAATATATTTAGGTAATCTTTATATAGGTTTAATCAAATAATCTTCCAATTAATTAGATTTCATTAAAGGATTCTTTTCTGCTTCAATTGTTAATTATCTGAAATAATCATTTTCATCTTTTAATTTACTAATTTAATTTTTTATCGTATTATATCTCTCACAATATTAATAATAACATTCAAATTTAGTTAATAAAGTTTGTTCATTTTTAAAATAAAATAACTAACTATTTTCATGTCCATAATAATCCTTTAATTCCTTTTCTAATTTATAGTTTTTTTGGTATTTTAGATTTTCTGATTGAATTCTTTATGTCAATTTATCAAAAAACCATTCATTAACCGCTACAATTTCTTTGATGTTTGAAAACACCTTTTTTGACTCTTGTATTCCATATTATTATATATATTTATCAACCACCAGATCACAAATCAACTTTAAGTCTTCTACATAATTTTTCTCCGTTTAATATATTTCTCTTATGATATACTTTCTGTTTTTATAAAGTTTACTAAGTGCTTGATATATTTTCTATTATTTTCTTGATTCTTTTTTATAAATAAATTTTTGAATAATTTAATCCATAATATTTATAATACAATATATAATGGTAACAAAAGAATTTTTAAATGGCCCAATTTTTAATAATTAAAGATAACATATTTTTAAAGTTTGTTAAATTAGTTTAATTTTCTGTAATTATTTCAAAACATAATCATACATAATAATATATATATTTTTTTAATAGAAATAGGATTATACTTATCCAACATTAATAACAATCAAAATTTTATTAATATATGTTTCGAAATATAATTAAACCACTTTAAAGAAAAAAAAAATAATACAATATAACTTAAGAAGAAGATTAAGAGGAACTATATTTTAAAAATGAAGAAGAATCAAAATAAAACGAAGAATCAGTATTTTTTGAATTCAAAAGAATGAGGATATCTGATGATCTAGATGAAACAAAAGAAATAGGTAGTAAAATCAAAAAAAATAAATAATAAGAAGGGGATTGTTATTTTATATACTAATTAAATCATGAAAAAATCTTTGAATCAATCAATAGTTATAAATCAAGACAGGAAAGTAAAAAATAAGAAGAAAATCAAGAAATTGAAAATATTAGTTATCATTCAGAATTACCACAAGAATGTTTTCATATAGTTCAAATTGATGAAATAAATTATGTTAATTCTATAAACTTCTCAAAATCTATAGAAAAAAAGACTTACAAGTTAAAAATTAAAAAAAATTTTAAGTAAATAAACTCTTTTAATCATATTTCTATTAAAGATAAGGTTATCTCGAAACGATTATGAAAATTTTTTTGTATTCTTAACTCATTTTTAACTAATTTGTATAAGATATTAATCTTTTTACCCCCTTATAGATTGTTTTAATCTGATAATGATTTAATCTAACTAATCATTTAGTTTTCACATTAATAAATACCTGAATTAATTAATAAAAAGAAGTTTAAAAGATATATTTTTCAAGAAATTCAAAAATAATTTTTTTTTATCATTAATAATGATATCATTTATGTAATTAAATATTAGATAAATCTTTCATTCTTTATTATATATATAATAGGTTTTTTATTTGATGAAATAGAAAATAAATGAAACATTTTTAAAAATTTTAAATTGTATATTCTATATATTGTATTAAAAATCATATTATATATTAGTCAAATAAATCATAAAAATAAATTCATATTAACAATTATGTAAGAATACTTAAATTAAAATTTTTTAAGTTCATTTAGAAACTTAAAAAAATTCATGAATCAAATCTCATAATTAATAGTAACAGGAATAAATAAAATTTAAAAATAAATATTTGCATGTTAATATGATTTAGTCATTACAAAAATAACTTATTGATATTACATAAGATGATATGAAAAGCTATCTTAATAATGATAAGATTGATATAATATTAAATGGTAGACTGCATTTTCATATAATAGAAAGTTTTAATTATCAAAATTTTATGTAAAGAAGGAATCCTTTAATATATAGTTATTGGTATTGAAAAAGAATTTTAATGATTAGAGTTTTTTACTTAGTAGCAATGATGAAAAGGATATTAATGAATGTTTAAAAATATAGTTATATTAATGAATCAAGAATTTTTATGTTGAAAATGAGTGATGATTTTAATATTTTAATTATTGAATTATCTATAATGGACAATAATAAAGTAAATATATGGCTAGATTGTGATGTTGGCAATGATGATGCTATGGCAGTCATTTTATCATTGTTTCATCCAAGATCTAATTTACTTGGAATTTCCACATGTTTTGGTAATACAAGGTAAGAGTTTGTATTAAAAATAGTCTTGAAAACTGCACAGATAATACAATTCGATTATTAAGTTCAGTAGGACGAACTGATGTACCAGTTTATAAAGGAGCAGAATTTTCTTTAAAATCTACAAGAGCTACAACTAAAATGCATGGTTCATAAGGTAAATTAACACATAAATGTTAGGATTGTATGCAGCTGATAGATTGATATCTTCCTTCAAGCCTTTATAAAACATTGAATTATATGATTTGATTAAATAGACTGCTAAAGATCAAGAAGTATTAAAATATAATAAATTAGTTTGTTATTGTTATCACAGGACCATAGACTAACATTGCTAAATTATTGAAGGATCACGAAAACATAATTCCTTAGATTTAACAGATAGTGTTTATGGGTGGAACATCAGGATTTGGAAATGTTACGCCTAATTCTGAATATAATATTTATTCAGATCCTGAGGCTGCCCAATTTGTAATTGATATATGTAGATAACATTCATTGAAATTGGTGATGATTTCGTTAGATTTAACTTACGTACTATTCAATAATTTATTAATATTTTAGACATGTTAATTATTAGAACCCCTTTAATAAAGAATTAAGAATATAAATTCTAAATTCTCAGATTGGTGTTTGGAAATGCTTTAAGAATATTAAGCTGCATATAAGGCATAAGAATTTGAATATCCTCCAATTCATGATCGTAATATATATTGATCTTAAGATTAGCCGTTGCTGTATTTTATGCATTACATCCAGAATTGTATGTTATAAAACCTGTTTATTGTGCAGTTGAGTGTGATTCTAAATTATGTTATGGAAGAACTGTTGTTGATAAATAAGATGTTTATGGATTTGAACCAACTTTATTGTTTGCAAGAAAAGTAATTGTTGATGAATTTTGGAATTAAATGATTGAAGCAATTAAAGTAGCCGCAAAGAATTCAAAAATTGAATGATTTGTTATGATTGTTTTATTTAATTTATTTCATAATAATATGTTTATTTTAGAAGAATAAGAAATTAAATTAATGAAGGAGTAATAGAAATAAAATGAAAGATAAAAAGACTACTTTTTTCAGAAATGTAACAATTAGAAGCTGTTTAATAGATAAAGATTAGATTAATAAGATTCAAAAAGAAAATTATAATATCAAATCTTTTTTAAAAATATAAAAACAAAGTCATTAAAAAATTGTTAGTTAAATCTCTAAAATTCACTTATAAATCCTCTTAAATAAAATATAATTAAATATTGTTATAAGATTTATCTGTTTTTATAAATCCTTTGGAAACTGCCTTATAATATGATTATATACCATGCGTTTATATTAATGTTTTAAGTTTATTAGTTGATGAAAATGATAATGCTACTAATTTTAATTGTAATTTATTAACGTTTTTAAAATATATTAAATAATATAGAAGAAACTATTATTATTGAAAATTCAAATTCTTTAAAAAGAATATGAAGAAATTGATAGAGAAAAAAGAGAAAAGTAAGAAAAAAAAAAGAATGAAAGAGGAAAGAAGACTTTAGGAAATAGAAAATGAAAGATTAGTTGATGAAGAAGTTGATAGATATGAAGAATAGGAAATTTTGATTAATAATAAGAAAATTAATAATTAAATAGTGATATTAAATAAATAATTTTATTTTTTATGTAAGAATAATTAGAAAATATTCAAGTTCTTTAAAAACTTTATTAAGTACAAGGAAATACTTTTGAAGAAGTCATATCCAATTTTAAAAATTAATAAAAGTAACATCTTACTAAGCTATTTAAATATATAACTAATGAGAATGAATTAAATTAATTTTAATTATAAGGAAATGTAATTGGAGTTGATTTTGAACATACTAATGATATTGGATTTGATGGATAAATTAGTATTGTATAATTTAAGGATGAGGCAGATGTGTATATTATTGATGTTATTGAAATCGGATTAGAAAGTGAAAAATTAATTAATGTCTTAAAAAATATTTTTGAAGATGATAAAATAATTAAAGTATTTTATGCAGGTAATACTGATATATAATGGTTGAAAAGAGATTTTTAAATTACTATATAAAATTATTGTGATATCAAAGAAATTGCAGATTAGTGTAAATTAAGTAAAATTTATGATTATGTTTATAATAGAAGGAGGAAGTGCTTTGATTTATCTATGGAAATAATATTGTGATCATTAAGTTTCTAAATCTTACAAAACTAATATGCAAACATCTGATTGGGCTGAAAGACCTTTAACTTAAGAATAATTAATTTATGCTGCTTATGATTGCTATTATTTACCATATCTTAGATATGTATTACTATAAGAATTAAGTAAAATTGACATCAAATAGTAAATTAAAATTTAAAGCAAATTTGATAAAGCAATTCTTAAAGAATATAAGAAACCTATACTATCCGATTAAGAATTAGCTAAAGTTGTTTCAAAGGAATACAATCTCTTAATGCAATTAGTTGTTGAAAATGATGACAAGTCTCCAATCTATTAATATTTATAGACGTAGCCTGTTGCTGTATAATTGGTTAAATTTATAGGATTAGAAATCATGAAAGTTAGATAGTAGTATGCAATTTATCATAATGATCCTGTTGAATGTTTAGAAGAGAATGAATAAGTTATTTTAATTGCTATTCATATTTATTAAAGATTAAATATTTAAAATATTTAAACTTACAAGTTGATTTATCCTGAATATTAAAATTACTAGAATTAATAATATGTATTAACATTAGAGTACATTTAAAAATAGATTGATAAAGATTGGGAAGTTTACTTTAAATCATTTTGTAAAGGATTTTATTAGAGTTTTATATATAGTTTAGATTTTATTAAATTTGGATTATCTACAATATATGAAGCTTTATAAACACCAGAGTCAAAACATTAATAAATATAACAAAAGATAGATGAAAAAAAATAAAAGTAAGCAGAATTTGGTGATAAATATACAAGAAAAAAGCCAGCTTATGGAAATTGTAAAATATATTCAAAGGAAAATTTCTTTTTGTGTAATTGTGATGAAAAGAAAATTAAATGGTATTTGAAATAAGGGTTGGCAGATTTAATAAGTGAAGATCCTCCTACAATTTAATTGAAATTTGAAGCTAGTGGATTTAAAGAAGAAGGATCTGATAAAGCTTAATATATAACAATAGAGAGAGTGAATTAATGTGTAATATGTGGAAAAGAAAATGAACTTTTAAAATTTAATGTAAAAATTTGAATTTAATTGATTTTTAGATAGTTCCAGTTGTATATAAAAAACATATATAAGGTAAAAGATCTTATGATGTTGTATGTCTATGTTTAATTTGTCATCAAAAGGCAAGTGCTTAAAATGATAAATTAAAATTGACAATTGCAGAAAAATATAATATAAATATTAAATAAAAGAAAAAGGATTCACTTATAGAATAGATAAGAAATTTAATAAAATCTGTTAAAGCATTTTATAAGAAAAATAAAAATCTACCAAAAGAAGCTTATTAAAAATTTTAAACTTAATTCACTAATTAAGTAGAATAATTAAAAAATTAAGAATAATTCATTTAAATCAATAAATATGATATAAATTAATTGAAATATGAAGATAATTAAATTAATATTAATGATGAATAATTTTCAGCATTTATTGAATATTTGATTGAAAATGAAGAATTATTTAATAAATGTGAAGATACAACTGATCATGGGAAATTAATTGTAGAATAATTAAAAACAGAAGAATAAATAGAAGAATTTTTAGTATTTTGGAGAGATAATTTTATAAGTATTAAGTTAATATTTAATATTTAGATGAAATGAAACCTTAATATTTAAATGAGGCATGGGCAATTGATCATAAATTTAAAAGAACTTTTGGAGAAAAATCATAATATAATCCTAATAATTAATAACAATTAGATGATTAAGAATGATTTATTTTAATTTATATAATCATTTAAATTAAGTAAAATAATAAACTAAATTATAAAAAAATAAAATCATATTGATTACCAAGTTGAACTATCCCTACTTTTACCTACTTTATACTAAATTCTCCATATAGTAAAAATGTATCTTTTTGTAGGATCAATAGATTCTCTATGAAATTAATATATATAATAACATACAACAAACTATTAAATATTTATTATGTATAATACTTTGTACAAGAATTAAATATAAGTAAAAACTAAAACGAATCTTAATAATGTTTGTGCCTTCAATCCCCATTCTGGATTGTTTTAATCATCACTTTCCCACCATAACTAGAAATGAGATCTCTATCATACATGGTATTATTTCATCCATAAAATATCATAAAAGATTGAAGCTACTAGACCTCCTCCAACAAGTTTTAAATGGAATGGTTCAAATCTGTCCATAAAGATAGTAAACATGAGACCATGACATACTAAAACCTAATAAATAATGATTATATAATTACATCTAAAAAAGATGGTTTAGCAGAACAAACAAATAAAGTGATCAAACCATAAATAGTGAATATTATGACACCAAGTTATAAAATCTCAGGAGCTTCTGGTGTTTCATCAAATTTTTCTAAATGTTTTTCTGATTATAATGCAGATATTATTTATTCTTTATGTTAAGATATCTATAATTAATAAGGATGTTATTAATCTATTTCATTCATTTATTAATTTCGATCAAATTATTCAAAAATATCATTCTGTTATTATTTGAAACTTTACTCCTTTATTAATTTTATTTTAAATGGTCTTTCCACTACATCTAAATCAGTTCTATACTCATTTAAATCATTTTCAAGTGTGTAGATCTTTTATTCAAATTTCTAAAGTTAAGTTTATAAATATTGATGCTAATTATCTTTTACAATAATACTTTATTTAATACTATTTAAGCTTCTATTTCAATACTAGCTCCTAATTCTCTACCTTAAGGATCTTTCAATTATAGTTCCATATCTTTTACTGATTAATCATCCAATTACTGAATTTATAAATATGCTTATCCCCACAAAGATGCTGGAGCTGCATTAGTCTATATGTAAAATTGAATTGAAAGGAATGTTGTTGTTGGTGGAATTGAACTTAAATTTAAGTATATTTTGATTACAATTCAAAATCTTAATTGAATTCTGGATTTACTCTATCATATTATTATTCTGGCTTTGCTATTTAATTTGTTACACCCAAATTTAATTAAATGTGACAATTTGTATATTTTAACTTTAATGGTATATTTTTTGCACATAATAATGTCAAAAATAAGTATCTTGTATCAGAATAAACAGCTAATTATAAGATTATAGCAAACATGTTTCTGCTAATTATTTTTCACAAATTGTCTTATTCTAAGATATTTATTTTAATTATTGTTCTGCTTTCTTTATCTTTTCACTCAATATTAAACTAGCATCAACTAAGGTTTAACTAACATCTGCTAGTCTGTATACTAATTTCAAATTTTCTTATGTAGGTCTACATTATTCAAATATTTATTCAGCAATTTCTCTATCAAACTCTCTTCTTGCCATCATATCCAATTTATTTAAAATTTCATCCTCATTACATTATTTCTCTTGTTTTAATCCATTTTCTTCAAATCCTCTTAAAACAGTTTATAAATTTAACATATTAATTATATTATATAATTTATCAATTATTACTCTTTTATTTCCAATTCAATTCAAAATCTTAATCTAATGACCCTTCATCATGAAATTCAAATTCTACCTTTTTTTATTTCAAACTTTTATTCTTTAATATCTTCTCTCTTCTTTTTTGATTATCCAATTTCTCATTTTAAATATCAACATCTTCATCATTTTATTCATTTTAATCTTTTATTTTCTTTTATTATTCAACTTACATTTATTATTAGATTTTTGTTTCTACTTCAATTTTACTAATGAAATTAATTAGAATAATTACTCAAAGAAATCTTCAGGTAATTCATTTTAATTACTTTTCTCATAAGTGATTTATTCTATTTCAGCAAATTCTAAATCTACTTCTTTATTTATTCGTTCAATTTATTGTCTCGTTAATTTTTATTTTCCGATATTCTATTCTCGAAATGCTTCATTCTCTAATCTATTTACATCTATTTAGGCATTTCTTTTCAATACTTACAAAGCATCTTTATGTTTTTAGCCAATCAAATGTCTTTTGAAATCTATCAAAGTCTCATTGATTTATTCACATTCCACACACTAAATGATAATTAAATTAAAATTGTACAATTATTTTTCCATCCATCAAATAAGCATTTTTAGGTAATTCTATTTAATTAATTTTTTATCTCCTCTTTTCTTCCATAAGCTTTTTCAATTAATCTTAAGTTGACATATTAATAAATCAAAATTAAAAATTATAAATAACAATAGTGCAAAAGAATACTAAATACAATTATTATTTGAGTCTTAACATTAATAAATATACAATAATGTAAGTAACATAAATTTTAAGATTGCACAATTAAATCATAATATTTTATCCAAAATCACATTATAAAATATAATAAAATATGTAAAGAATTTAGTTCTTTAGAAAACAAAATAATATCTCATTAATAGCTACATCATTATTCCAATAATGTTAATAAAATTTGAGATTATTAAAGTTATTTTATTTATTTATATTTATGTTTTCATAATTAATTCTTTCTACACTATTAGAATTAACCTATTCTAATTGGTCTAAAACACTATAAATAACAATAGACAACTTTAATCAATCAGAATCTGCTGTCTCAATTAATACTGATAATATTCATCATATCAAATATCCTTAGGCATATGACTTAAATTTGTATTACAAAAATGGAATAAGTAAATCAAGAAATATAAGTGATGATGAAAAGATTAATAATACTTAATTATTTTAATAAGGATGTTCCTATTTGGAAAGATAGATAAAAATTGAAGATTGAATACCATTCAAATTCCTGATGATTGCAATATTAACAAATGATATTAAAATTTTGTTAGTAAGAAATGAATTTAACGAAACAAAATTGAAAGTATAAAAAATTCAGTATATTTTAGAATGTATATTGAAAAGTATAGATATGTCTAAACATTTAAAAGTGAATTAATTTAGGAAACCTAAATTATTCATAATTTCAGAAAATGAAGCCATAAGTTTTGATGTATTGTTGGTCAAATTACACTTTACCTGAAAGTAGAAAACATTAAATAGAGGAAAAAGCATCAATGACATTTATGATGATGAAATTTCAAATAGGGTTTTGGTTTTTGCTGGTAGATACGGAATAATTGTTTATAATTATGTAAATGAAGAATTAAAGAAAATATATATAATTAATCTTGATTATAATGTAATAAAAGTGCAACTCTTGAACATTATCTATTTATATTGGATGATAAAAGAGGAATTAATTTTTATCTTTGAAAGACGGCAATTATATTATTAATCATACTAAATTATAGTTTTTATTCAAATCGAAAAATCAAATTTCTTTTGTTTATAAAAATAATTCATTTTAAGTTATTAAATAGGCAAATAAATAAATTAGATTTGGAATTGAAATTTTAATAAACTTATAAAATTAAGAATATTATTATAATAAATTCTATTTATAAGATATGGAGTAAATAGATATTTAAGAAATAGGAGAATTTTAGATGTTATAGGTTATGATTTTCATAAATTAGAATAAACAAGTATATATCGTGATTTATTGATGATAACTTTTATGATGGAACTGATTTTATGATACNAAATCATAATATTTTATCCAAAATCACATTATAAAATATAATAAAATATGTAAAGAATTTAGTTCTTTAGAAAACAAAATAATATCTCATTAATAGCTACATCATTATTCCAATAATGTTAATAAAATTTGAGATTATTAAAGTTATTTTATTTATTTATATTTATGTTTTCATAATTAATTCTTTCTACACTATTAGAATTAACCTATTCTAATTGGTCTAAAACACTATAAATAACAATAGACAACTTTAATCAATCAGAATCTGCTGTCTCAATTAATACTGATAATATTCATCATATCAAATATCCTTAGGCATATGACTTAAATTTGTATTACAAAAATGGAATAAGTAAATCAAGAAATATAAGTGATGATGAAAAGATTAATAATACTTAATTATTTTAATAAGGATGTTCCTATTTGGAAAGATAGATAAAAATTGAAGATTGAATACCATTCAAATTCCTGATGATTGCAATATTAACAAATGATATTAAAATTTTGTTAGTAAGAAATGAATTTAACGAAACAAAATTGAAAGTATAAAAAATTCAGTATATTTTAGAATGTATATTGAAAAGTATAGATATGTCTAAACATTTAAAAGTGAATTAATTTAGGAAACCTAAATTATTCATAATTTCAGAAAATGAAGCCATAAGTTTTGATGTATTGTTGGTCAAATTACACTTTACCTGAAAGTAGAAAACATTAAATAGAGGAAAAAGCATCAATGACATTTATGATGATGAAATTTCAAATAGGGTTTTGGTTTTTGCTGGTAGATACGGAATAATTGTTTATAATTATGTAAATGAAGAATTAAAGAAAATATATATAATTAATCTTGATTATAATGTAATAAAAGTGCAACTCTTGAACATTATCTATTTATATTGGATGATAAAAGAGGAATTAATTTTTATCTTTGAAAGACGGCAATTATATTATTAATCATACTAAATTATAGTTTTTATTCAAATCGAAAAATCAAATTTCTTTTGTTTATAAAAATAATTCATTTTAAGTTATTAAATAGGCAAATAAATAAATTAGATTTGGAATTGAAATTTTAATAAACTTATAAAATTAAGAATATTATTATAATAAATTCTATTTATAAGATATGGAGTAAATAGATATTTAAGAAATAGGAGAATTTTAGATGTTATAGGTTATGATTTTCATAAATTAGAATAAACAAGTATATATCGTGATTTATTGATGATAACTTTTATGATGGAACTGATTTTATGATACAATAAAATTGAATATTTATAATTGTATTATACCTCAATTGAAAAAAATCTAAAGAATTTATAGTTCAGAAAATGAATATTCAAATTCAAGAGTTCAGTATTCATTAGGCCTCACTCCTAATTACTTATTTGTTATAATTATAATAGAAAAGTATCCAAAAATAATCTGTTCATCTTAAAATTAAATTGAATAAAATTATATTATTAATTCCACTTAATACAATAATTCAGAAAAAAATCCATTCATTGATGAATTTGTCAATTAAAGAAATTTTATGAGACTTTTTATCATAATTAATAGTGGAAGTTGTTTTATTTTAGTATTTATAATTTTTATTATCTTCTTAGATTTTGGTCTAATAATGTGTGGGAGATGGAGATTTGCAATAGAAAATAGGCAGAGTAAGAGGAGATAATATGTAAATGTGTAAGTTGCATGATTTAAATATTTTTATATTAATTATAATGTGGAATATAATTTCAATTAATCCTATATGTTAGAAAAAGAAATTGGTTTCTGATTAAGAGAGGTTATTACTAAATTGTAAAAACATGAGAAAGACAATTAATAATGGAGAACCATGGAAACCATCTCATTCGTTATCTAAAGTTAATAACAAATATAGTCATTGTAATTTTATATATAAAAATTAATAAAGAGGAAGAGAATAAAATCATGCATTAAAATAATATTTTGTTATCTAAAATGATGGATATTTAGAGACATAATTTAAGAAGTTAAAGTTCTGGATAATTACCATTATCATTATCACATGTTAGTAATCTTAACTAACGAAAATTCGAGAAATTCAAAATTAACTAAGAAAATTAAAAGTTTCTATCTCGTCTTTAATCTGCTTCATCAATTTATAATAAAAATTATTGGTAACCTGATAATGAAAAGAATGAAATTTACAAATAAATTATATTAAAGAGAACAAGTTAAATTTAATTATTATTTTAGAACTCAATCAAGATTATAATGATTTAGCTAGAAAATCCCTTGAAACTAGATCTACAGGGAGAATGCTTTCATGTATAGACATATCATTATTTAAGCAGCCCAATAATTTAAACGTAGACAGATGTCTGATGAACAATTTTAATACTAATAATCCCCAGAATGATTTTGATATTCATACATTATTAGTATTTTTATCTTAATAAAAATTTAATTATCATATAATATCATAATTGAGATTTTTTATTTCATATTATATTATTTAAATATTATAATCAAATTTTTAAGTAGAAGATCAATATAATTCTTATTTGCTTTAGACATCTCATCACTGCAAGTTACACTAAAGATATTTATCTCAAAATTATAATAGCCAATTAATTAAAATTATACTGCTTTTAGAATTATGCTTTTATGATTACTTATAGCTTATTTATTTTCAAGTTTTAAAATAATTGATTAAGTTTATATTCAGATTTCTATATGTATCATTTATTTTCATATATCTTCTGATGTATAACATTATTATTACTCAAATTATTATGATGAATAATGTACAATTTATCTAAATCTCAAGGACTTTTTTATAATAAATAGTTAAAAAATATTTGCTTCATTATTCTCAAATGAAAAAATTATAGTCTTTTAATTAAATCAAATAAAACGCTCTATCAAAGTAAAGATTATATAAACAATTATATCGACATGTCTTAAATAATAAAGAAAATCAAACAAAGACATACAAGAGGATCAGATTTTTATATTAAAGTGCTCTGTCCTACTATAAAATAATTATAAATTAAAAAAAAATTTGATATAATTTTAAGGTAAAATGATTTGTATTCAAAATATTTCATAAAGTGAAAGCCATTTGGAATTCAAGCAATATTTCTATGTTAATCTATAAGTCATTTTCTAATCATATGTAAATTTCATTTAATGTTTTATTGAAAATCTTATAAATAATATAATAATCTGATTAAATTGAATATTTATTATTAAAATATGCAATAATTTAAAAGAGAAATGATAATATAAGATTATAATCATCTCAAAATATATGAAAAAATATAAGGTGATAATAATGTTATTTCTAAATAAATTAAATAGTTAAATTGATAATATGATATTTGTAAATGTGTATATAAATAAATTTTCATGGATATTGACATATGCAGAATTGATGATTGTTAATGCTGCTAAGATATTTCATATTTTTTATAACTAAATAATAATCTTTCAGTCATTTTTATTTGTAATTTCTTATATAGTAAAGAAAATATTTACATAACTTATTAATCAGAAATTAATGAAATCTTGATATAAATTTTTAGATGCTTAACAATTAGAATGGATAATCATAAAATATTTATTTTTAATTTATATTGATTTATATAAAAAATTGTATTAGAATATTTATGTTTAATTATTTGTATATATATAGAGATATTTAATAAAATAAATGATAATTACTATTGGCTTATTGATTTTATAATCCATTATATTAGCAATATATAATGGAGTAACTGAATAAACAGATAATTACTATTTGTTAATAGATTTACTATTAATATTTGGATGTTTTGGATAAAAAATATTATTAATTTTACTAATAGGAAGTGTCTGTCTCTCAAATGAATTATTAAAGATGGATTAAGATGTAAAAACCATTGTTTATATTAGATATTAGGTTTTTATATAAGTATGAGATTATTATTAAGTTCATTTATTCTACTTGACACATCTAAAATAATTTATTTTGTGTTTTGCTTCTTTTATTTAATTTTTAGGAATCATTATTACTTATAACCAATGTCATATTTAACCGTATTTGGATATTTGATCATAATTATTCAAAGTAATCATTTGAATTAATAATAAAGCTCTATATATAAAGCATAAAACACCAAAAATTGAAAAACATTAGATTGACTAAATCTTTGATTTCTTTTAAGAATCCCTTCCTATTTCTGTTTGCATCATTCAAGATGAGTGTATAATATGATTTAATGTTAGAATACAAGTTCATGACGAATTAATTTAAAATTGATTATCATGGACTTACACCTTAAATTATAAAGAATATTACATCTAAATCAAATAAAGAATGTCTAGCAACTTATTTAAATTAAAAAAAGTTTTAAAAAAATAGATAATATTAATATCATAGTAAAAAACGATTTGAACATTGTACTCTTGAAATATCCTCATCATCGTTATAATAAAAAGAATAAATTTAAAATTACTTTCCTGTTGATATTGATGTACTAGAAATTATTTGGGAATAGTAACCAGCTATTATGTTGATTTTCTAATCATAAAATGAAAAATACTAATAATAATAAATATAAGAATTAAAATTGAGAGACTAATATAAAGATGATCTTTTAGTAAGTGTATCGCATGATTTCAAGACACCAATAAATGGAATTGTTGCTATTGTTCAATATTTAGAATAGTATTTATTATAATAAAAATTTATATAGAATAGTAATTGATTAAATGGAAATTAATTATTTAATTATACTTAAAAAATGGGCTTAATTATTATTGTACATGATCAGTGATATACTAGATTTTTCAAGGATTCAAAAGAATTCTTTAAGATTAACTAATACAACTTTCTATATCTAAGCGATTGTTTAAGAAATTATTGATTTGGTCTCATTATAAGCAAATCAGAAGGGCATTATTGTATAAAAGAAGATTACTTTTGGAGATAGATTGATGTATTCTGATCCTAATAGAATTAAATAAATATTATTGAATTTATTGAGTAATTCTCTAAAATTTACAGAAAAGGGTAAAATTGATATTGTTGTTGATTATAAAAATAGTGAAATTGAAAATTAATAAGTCAGACTAATTAAAATAAGTGTTTCAGACACTGGAGTAGGAATTCCTGATAATATTAAGCCTAAATTATTTTAAATGTATGGAACATTTGATTTCACTAATAATGGATCAAATAAACATGGTATAGGATTAGGTTTAGTAATTTGTAAAAAATTAGTAGGATTATTAGGACCAACTGATAATATAGAATTGATAAGTCAAGTTGGAATAGGTTCTAAATTTAGTTTTGATGTTTATATTAATAATGATTAAAGAAATTTGACCACTATTACTAATTCAAAAGAAATGACAAATTTTTATAAATAAGATTCAAAATAATTGTAATATGATCAAAATTCTGCTAATTAATTATTAACATCTCAATTTACAATATTTAATTAATCTCTTTTGGCACCTTGTATATAAAATTAAAAGAAATTAAATAACAAAGGTATTTCAACTCTTCAAGATATTTAAGATAGAAAGTTATCTAATTCAAATTATTAATTTCGAAAGATTTAAAGAAAAGAAACATAAAAAAAGTCTTAAATTATACATGAAAATCATGGTAATTTTGGCAATTTATGTTTTTTATGTAGTGTTGAAGATTCTGATCATTCAAAAAAAAAAAATATACAATAATATCTTGAATTTAATAGTGAAATAATTCATGCAAAATAGATTTAGAAAAATAATAAATAAGTTGATAGCTCTATGAATACTCCTCTATATAATATTGATAGTATGGAATCACCTGCTACTTAAAATAGACCACGTAAACCTTTAAAAATAACTGAATCTATTGATGATATGATGAAAATGCTATTCCCAGAACCATGTACAATTTTAGTTGTAGATGATTCACCTGTAAATGTGATTGCATTTCGATTAATTTTAACCAAATATGATTTTATTACAGTTGAAGAAGCATATAATGGAGAATAAGCAATTCAAAAAATAAAAATGGGTATGATAAATGATAAAAGATATTAATATATATTTATGGATTTAACAATGCCTATAATGAATGGATATGAAGCTACAGAATAAATTCGATTGTTGGTAATGGATATCATATAATATAATTATAGGAGAACAACAATCTAGTTCCAAAAAGCTATATTATTGCATTGACTGGATATGATGATTTAAAAGAAAAAGAGAAATGTTAATAAAAAGGATTTGATGCTTTTGTATCAAAACCAATTAAGATTATAGATATAATCTCTGTAATTAATGAAGTAAAGAATTCAAAAGAACCCTAAATTTGAATTTATAATAACTATTTTTTATATTCTAAATTTTTAATGAATTCGCGTGTTGATCATTATTAAAAAACTTTTTAAATCAATAAAAAGAACTTAGAGTAGTTTGTAGAATAATGTAATTGTATGAATTATATTGTTTAGAAATGTTGTATGATAATTTTAAATAATTTACAAGTGATGAAGGAGAAGATGAAGATTAAAGTGAGTAAATATTGTGTTAATATTTTCTAGTATTTTAGGGTGACAAAATTATATTATATTATAAGGGACAATAATACTTATTCCCATTAAGTATTATGGCATTGTCTTCTTTAGAAAATGTAAATGAGATATAATATAATAGGTCTTTTCTGTAGAGAATTTTACACAACAAGAGATTGATTCCTTATGTTGTTTATTACCTGAAGCTGATTTACAATTATTCTAAGATGTGATAGAAGGCAATAAAAATTTTCATTTCGGAAGCCCATTAAATATTTTCCTGATGAAAATGAAAAGTGGATATTTTACCAGAAATAAAGAAATTTGTGATAAATTAGAACAGAAAATCTCAAAAAATCATTTGAATGAATACTATTCAAATCTATATGACAGTTTTCATAAAGATCAGAACAGAATTTAGAATGTACTCTAGAGGAAAAAAAGAATAATATTTTAAAGATCTCCAGCATCAATTTCTGAAGATGATGAAATAAGTAAATAAATGAAATTAGATGATAATGAAGAATTAGAAGAGGAAGGATTTTCAACATAAACATCTCAATCATAATCATCGGCCAATGTTTAATAATATTCCTTATAACCTTAACCTCAAATCCAATAGTAATTTATACCATCAGCTTAATCCTTATTTATCATTACTCCTATAACACCATTACCACCATTAACTTCAACTTCAGTTGCTACAACAGCAATGACTTTGGCTTTGATGCAAGCTAAAAAATCAATAAAATAATAGAATAAAAATCAAACATAAAATGTTTAAGAGTCTAATATTCCTAATGGATAAACCAATAGAGAATGGTTAGAGTTTTATTGGAAATAAGAAAGAGAAAGATATTAAAATCCCCTTCAACCTTATACATTTACTTGCATAGATGGTTCTAAAGTAACAGTTGCACCTGTGGCTAAGAAATTAATATCAGGCTCAAGTTAAAAACCAAGATAACATGAATTACTTAAGAATGAAAGACCTACCTATGTTACTATATTATCTCTTGTAAGAGATGCTTCAGCAAGATTGCCAAAAGGATTTGGAACAAGAGCAGATATTGTCAATTTAGTAAGAGACTCTCAATACATAAATGAGAATTTACCAGAAGAGAAAATGAGTTCTATAATTTCAGGAGCTTTAGATAGATTACATTAATCTACTGATCCATGTGTTAAATATGATTAAGAAAAAAAAATATGGATGTAATATATTATTATAAAAATATTTAGTTATTTACATCATGATAGAGATTCTTCTTATCCTGAATGGCAGGTGGCTACTCCTGCAAAAAATAATAGTAATAAGAAAAAGGGTTAATTCAAAGATGATTAAGAAAATTGATATTTTTTTGTTTGTTTGTATTTAAATAAAGTACAAATGTATAAACTTTCACATCCAAATTTGATCCAAATCCTCTTTCCACTTTGTGGTCTAAGTTTTCTGAATCAACTCTGTTGTGTCAAATTCATTCCATTATGATTTGAGTACCTATTAATAAATATTTACCTGTAAGCATAATTTATGATCTCATGCCTTTTTTTCTCTTTACTTTTCCTATCCAAATTTAATTTTTGATTCTATTTCCAATTTTACAATTCCTTATTCTTTAAATTCCATTCATTTTCCATATTTCAATTTTTCCTTTTTTCTCTTAATCAATTTCAAAATTTCAACATTCGCCCTTTATGTATTTCTCCCTCTATCTCTTTTTTATTTGTTCTCTCAACTAATCGGCATGCCCATGTCTCAATTCTCATGTCTCATGTCTCTTAGCAAAGTCCAAGGGTTTTTTATATATCAAACACATCATTGTGTTGAAGGGACTTAATTGCACATACACAATTCTAAGGCAACCATAAAAATTTATGGGAAGGGACCAATTTTCCATGAATTAATATTCATTGGACACAAATTGGATCTCTGGAGGGGCAACGGGCATTAATCACAAATTGTACTCTTCCAATTTGGTTTGGTGGCTCAAGTCACAACTCATTAAAGGGGGGGCACAACTCTTAATTGGCTTCTCTTTAATTGGGTCGCACTTTCAAACTCAAATTATTAGTTCATTTCAAGGAAGGACACAAGGGAATTCATTATTCCATAAAGCATCATCAAATTTATAATAGTGATCTTAAAACAGATTTAAAAGGCAATTTCGTCAAAGGATAGTTAAGAATTTTATATTAGAAAACAGGGTCTTAATTGGTCTTTATTGGGTCTTAAGAGATTAAGGATGGCACTTCAAATCATTATTCTAGAATATATAGGGATTCTCAAGTAGTCAAAAAAAGCACTTAAATAACAAATAAGTATCTGCATTATTAATATGAATTCTGTCGAAGGCTCTCTAATAGTTTTTTATAAGGAATTATTTTTAATCTTTAATTAAGGCTCCAAAAACTTATTAATAAAAAGAAATATTCTTATTGAATTGGCTCTTAATATATAAGGAAATTGTCTCTTAAGTTTAAAGGAAAATAGTCTTTGCTTTAAGTAATAGAGAAATCTAAGGACTCAACAAGGTTAACTTGATAAAATAAAAATATAAGGGGTTGGCATCTGAGATTGGTCCACAATATTTAATCTTCGTAATATGTAGGTCTGTAAATTATAAGGAAAAGGGATCTTAGAAAGATTAGTCTGAGTCTGAATTGTTGATCTGGGGTATCAAGTCAATCTGGAAGTAAAGAAATCATTCTGAAAAAGGAATCTTATTTCTTAGAAGAGAATGTTGGGAATTCTGAAATAGTCTAGTCTTTTCTCCTTGGTAAAGAAATTTTGCTGTCTTCTATCTTAAGTCTTGTCTAATGGGGTAGACCACATGGTTCTCAAGAAATATTGATAATTTGGCTCAACTGGAAAAGAACAAAGGTAGAAAACTTCTATGTCTATCTGGATTGTCTCTCTCTCTTTTAGGTTGTTGGATCTCATTTGGCTTCTACATATTTTTCTTTAGTCTTAATCTTATTAAAGTATGTCTCTAGTAAATTGGTCATAGATCTTAGTTCCATATTTGTTCCACAATTTTGGTATCATTAGAAAGAATTTAGTTAAGGGAAGGTTCTTTTGGTTCAACAGGGACTAAAAATCAACAATTTTTTGTCTGATTTTGTAATAATAAATACTTAAAAATTAAAGTTTTATTCTTCTAAAGCTTTCAATTAATTCTTCTAAAATGTACTACACTGTCAGTGAATCTATTATAGAATCCATTACTTGATAAAAATAAAGGATAGATCTTCTTTTGTAAGCATTTATATATTCTAATCTTTTTCTAAATCTCCTTTCTTTATTTTTCAAAATTTTCATTAACATTCAATAATGATTTTCATTAATATCTTTTCTTTGTTTATAATTGTTTTGAGATCTAATTGACATTTATTAATCAAAGTCTCCATGCATCAGGTGAGGAATCTAAAATAAGGTTAGTTACTTTAATTAATTAAATTCTTCTTTGAATGTAATTTAAATTTTGAAAATTGTTGATAGGGATTTATCTTAGTATTTTATAAGTTCAACATTAGTATCAAAGCATTTGAACCTAAAATTAATTTATCTACTTCAATTTAATTAAGAAAATCTTTATTTCAGATCTATCTTTTATTTTTAGGTATAATTCAAGGGTCTAGATATAACACTTCACTCTAGCGACGTAGCCTAATAATAATCTATCTACGTCAAAAATGTAAGATTTTAGATTGTTTATTTATAATTTGTAGTTAAGGTTCTTAACTTTTAAAATCTCTAATATTATTTCTTTAAATCTTCCTGATTTCTATTGTTTGAATTTATTATTTTCTCTTTAATTTATCTTTCTTCAAATACAAGTGAGTTAATCCTAAAATTAAGTTAACTACATTCATTTTCATAATCTTTTTGTTCAAAAATCTTCTAATCTTTCACATGGTATTAGTAAATGCAATGAGCACTAGCAACAGATATAGGTAAATTATAGTTGAAACAGAAACCAAGATTGGAATCCTAATATAAAGTAATCTACTTGAATGTTTCATTTGAATAAAAATCAGGTATTTTACAAACTCAGTCTTAGTTTCTGTTGGACATCATATCGTACTTAAACATGTTATGAAAACTTCAATTGTTTAAAATTCATACATAAAACAACTAATAAAAATTGCAGGATGATAATAGGCAATGATTAAACTTCAATAATTTTATGGATTTATTAAATTATAAAATATCTAAAAAATATAAATATTTTTCGATATTTTATAACGTAATCACTTAATACTTAAAATAAAACCTAATTTTATTTCAGTTATAATCATAAAAAAGGCTAAATAAAATAATATAATAAGAAATTAAGTTCCAAATTAAATATTCCAAACAAAGTAAGTTATATCTTATTAGTTCCAATTATAGTGTTTTAAATTCCAATTATAGTATTTCTAAATTCCAATTCTCTTCTTAATTTTCTTATTCTAATTATTAAAAATCTTAATATTTAATTAATATATTCTTAATGATAGTAAATCTTTTTTTTATTATTCTACTCTTTTATTATGTAATCTAATGTGTGTTTATTAATAATAATTAATATATATTAATTCTTTTTAATAATCTCTCTCTTAACAATCTGATTCCTAATACAATAGATAATCTATAAATAGAAATATGTAAAAGGATTCTAAAAATCCAATTATTTCATATTTTCGATAATAATGTTAGAATTATTCTAAAGTTTCAAATATCAAAAGAAATATTTCAATAATTAGGACAATTAAGAATATCATAAAAAACTCTAAAGAAATTTCATTTGTTATTCAAATCTTATTATTATAAAAAATGGCGACACTTTAATTAAAACAATTCTATATTTAATGGGAAAAAAAACTAAAACTTTTCTAGATTATCAATCTATTTGGAATCAAGCAAAATTTTCTAAAATTATTAAAGTAATTAGTAAATGTTCCATTTTTTCAATGAAAAGCATTTTCATAATCATATAAAATAATATGGTATACAATAATTAATAATTTTAGTATTCTAAATGTATAAAGGGTATTAATAATCTTCTAAAAGAATAATTTGAGAAATAACTAGGTACAATACAAAGATCTTTCTGACATATAGAGTATTTTTAAAATTCTTTTTTCAGTTTCACGCATCCAAAAGATATTTTTCTAAACTCTAAAATGTCAATCTTCTAACACTATACTACTAAACATTTTTTTCTTTAAAATATATATATTCTTTGTATTTATTTTGAGAAATCCTCTTAGAATCCGAATTAATATTTCAATTTTTAAATTATTATAGGTATATGATAGCGTTTATAAATGCATCCATATAATTAATATCAAATCTTTTCCAAAATGCACTTTTTGCTATCCCTAAAATTCTTCTTAGTAAGCTACAGTTTTATTCAATTGAATTTTATTTTAACAAATTTCTTCTTAAATATAAAAGTCAAAAGTTTAAAATTATGGGTTTGATAAATATATTAAAACCGAATTGATCAGTTTAAAATTTTGACTTACATTTGGTATAAAATATTTTATCATTAAAAATAATTTATCAGTTAATGTGGCTTAACTTCCTTTTAATTTATAATGTTTAATCTCAAATATTGAGTTATTTAGATTTTAAAGAATGATAAAAAATGAATAAGGAAAGTATTTAGAAAGAAAATGAATTTGTAATTAAAAAGAATGTAAAACTTATATATTATATAATATAAACAAAAAAGTATATAAGTTAATGATATATGATGATAAATCTAATGGCTTTCAGTTAAGAAATGAATATACCATTTAGAAATATCAAATAGAAATTGAAAAAGATTATTAGGTTTCACTTGCCTCTATTAATATTTTATTGAATCTTTCCATCAAATAATGTAAGGATTTCATTTTTTTATCTTTTCATTAAGAAAATATAATAATTATATAAAAAACAAAAATTATGTCTAATTTTGAAAAAGAAGATTCTTTTAATAATTTATTGAAAGCAGAAGTAACAAAGCTTGCTCAAGGAATAATTGATTAAGAATTAAAATAATATTAATATGATAATATAGATGATGCTTAAAGAAAAAGTAATATAATATGTGAAATAATCTTGAACAAATTGAAAGACTTAAATAATAAACACTTTAAATTCATAGTTAATTGTCTGATATTATAAAAAGCTGATTGTGGTATCAACTTATCAGTTTCATGTTATTGGGATAATACAACTGATGGATCTGTAGCAGTACGACAAGAAAGTGAAAATGCTATTGGGATATTAAACATATTTGCTTGTGGAGTATGAAAATTGTATAACTCTGACATATCATTATATTAACTATCTAAATATATAAAATATCTTATAAACAAGGAATAAAATGATAAGTTTGAATATATTAAAAACTTAATATAATGGATTATGAATCATTGAAAAAAGTTTTAAGTTCTAATAACACCTATATTGGAGTCAAACAATATCTGGAAGCTGTTTAACAGTAAAGAATGTAATTAAATTGACTATTCTAAGGGACATTATGAAGGTATGTGCTGATGTAATAATCAATATCCTAAATGATTAATAAGGACCTCATTATCCAAAATTCTTATGTTTGAAAGTATATTATAATATATATGTAGTTTATCAATGAATTATTGGAACTACAGGAATATGAATGGATTGAATTGACTCAAAAGAATATATTACCTATTTTAGAAGAATATGCAATGTTTAAAAAAGAGAGTTAAGATGATGAACGAGGAAAATAATTATTTCTTTTGTCATCTACTTCTAAAAAAAAGTATGAATAAATGAAAGAATTGGAATAAGTTGGATAAATATTTCATCGTTATACATTAGAGAGTATTTGGGTATGGAGTAAATGGTTTCCAATTGATACCGTTATTGGAAAATTGAGTTTGTATAAAATTGCTTAAGAGAGACTTTCAATTATGAATGTTAAATTTCCTACTATTTCCTACTTTACATTTGAGAAAGTCATCAATTATTAGCAAATCTAAAGGGTAACTATAACTATAATGAAATAAGCCACCTAAAGAATTGTTACAAGAATGTACTTAAGTTATTAAGGAACATATATAAGATGGATAAAAAACAGATCTTACTTTATTTTAAAGTATTTTAACCAAAACATATTATACTAATCAAAAACATAATTTATAATCTATTAAGACTTATCCATAAATTTGGAAGGATGCTCTTGATTTAATGAAATAGGGTAAATTGGGAATTGAAATTTCAAATAAATTAAAATCAACTTCAATAAATCAAATGGGAAGAAAATTTCTATAAGCTTCTAAAGCTTTGAGCAAAAGCAGAGGAGCATTTTCAGATTAAATATTCAACTTTACTCAAGTGTTAAGTGAAAAAGAGAAATTATTATCTGAGATTAATGCTCATATAATGGAAAAAGAATAAATAAATAATTAATTATATTAAGAAAAGCAAAAAAATCAAGAATTAAAATAAGAAATAGAAAGATTAAAATAATAAATAAATTAAAAACAAATATTAAATAATTAATAGAATACAAGTCAATTTAATTAAATTAATACTATTTCTTAGTAGGAAAGTCTTAAAGAATAAGATAAATTAATTTAAAAAAGAGACTTAGAAATTAAAAGATTATAAGAATTAAATTAACATTATGAAGAGGTTATTAAATAATTAAAAAATAATATTAATCATCTTTAAAATGTACATGATTTAAGGGATATGGAAGTATTTAAATTATAATAATAAAAAATTAATTTAGAATTAAAATGTGAAGAAGTTTAAAATTAATTAATTACTGCTTAATAATAAATAAAAAGATAGTATGAAACTATTAAATAATTATAAGAGCAATTAAATTAATTAAATGAATAAAGTCTCATTAATTATGAAAAACAATCAAATTAAATTTAAAAGTTATTGAATGATTATGCAGCATTAGGATAGAATAATCAATTATTAAAAGATTAAAATGAAAATCATAAACTAGAAATTGAATTACATAAGAATAAAATAGAAAACTTAAAAGAATGTCTTTTAAAATTATCTAAATAATAAGAATAAGTTTAATAAGTTCCATTATTAAAACTTGGCTGTAATTTATTTTATTTAATTAGAAATTTCTTAAAATAAACTTGAAAAACCTAATTCTTCTAATAATGCTCACTCTTAAACTAATTATGAATAATTTTATCCAAAAAATTCAACTTTATAAAATCAAAATGTTGAATTTAAGTAACTTAATAGAACATAAATGAATTAACATAATATTTGATAATATTGATTATAAGAATATTATTATTGGACACCAACTTTATTTATAACATCACGGGTACTTCATTACTTACCATCTCCTTCTTTTCCTTGAATCTCTTCTTCAATAGGGTTTTTTTCTTCTTTTTTTTCGTCAATAATGCTAAACAGAATTCAACTTTAAAAGTACGAGCCGGCAGAAGACTCTGAATGTTATGAGTCTTTTGAAGAGCCTCTTGATGAGGACTTTGATTTCCTTTTTGTACTCTTCTTCTTATTCTTTATCTTTCTACTTGATGAACTACTTGATGAGGAATCTGAACTGGATGAGCTCCTCTTTTTTTTATGTTTCTTCTTATGTTTTCTTCTAGACTCACTAAAAATTATTATGTTTAATTCTTTACCTACTAGAGCTAGATGAACTAGATGATGATGATCTATGTCTACAGTTTTTAGCGCTAATAAAATGGTAAATGAATTAAATAATAAATATATTGTATTCTATATATAAAGAGTATTTGCTATAGAAAAACTTACAAATGTCCAGATCGACCGCATGAATAACATAGGCCATTATTTTTGCTCGGCTTATTTCCACGAGCCATCTCGACCTATAACACAGATCCTTTTACTTCTTCCTTATTCATTTTTTTAACAGCTTTCTCTGCATCTTCTGAGTCTTTAAATTCCTACAATTAATTCATTATATTTACAATGAAACAATATTTCCCTTTCCAAGCAAATTCTTCAATTTTACCAAATTTTTTGAATAGCTTTTTAATATCATGTTGATCTTCTTTAAGAGAATATCCTGTAACATATACTCTTTTTTTATTCTTCTTTGGTGATTGTGACCTTGATGAACTTGAAGAAGACATTTTATTTTAAATAATGGATACTTTTTTTAATATAATTTTTATACTCAATTTTTTTAATGCTTTTCCATTTTCTCTAATTAAATTTTTAACAAATTAAACCTTGATACTATTTCATTATATTCCACACATGTATTTTTATATTTTCTTCTTACTTCCATAACTTCTCTGGCCAGAATTTTAAGTTTATCTTAATACAATCGAATAGATTCATTATTTTTTTAGACCATAATTTAGTTTTATTTCAATTAACTTTCCTTCATATAAATTTATTGATTTAAACTACTAATTTTTTCATTTTTATCTAAAATAATCTTTTCTAAATCTTTTACTTTTTCACTATTTTATATATTATTTAATATAAATACTTTAAGAATCTTTTTGCATCAGAATATAATCCCAATTAAGTTTTAAAATCTTCATATTAATCTTCAATTTATTTCTTTTCTTTTAATAAAAAGAAAAATTTGGTCATTATATAATAATTAAGTGACTATAAATCATTTACTTCTTAAGTCAAATGTTATCCATAAACAAATAATGAAGCTAAACAACGTTATAATTATGATAAAAACATCCCAAATATTGAAGAGTCTTAAGCACACACTGTACTCAAATCATACAATCTTGTAATGATTTATTAAGCAAACATTTATGAAGATGTTGGAAATTATTTCCTCTATAATTAAACCTATTAAATAGTAGCCTATGGTTTTGGAAAGAATTAATTCCAAGGAAATTTCTCTTAAACTAAACTCTATAATGCTGCCTAATAACTTTACGCTTATTGTGTTAAATAACCCTCCAATAGATCCATCACTAAAATTATTAATAATATATATTTTACAATCTTTATTATGTTAATTATTCTTTAAACCTATAAAATTATCACCATCTATTAAAGATTAACATTCACGTAAAGTAGGAATGATATATTCAGAAAAATTAACTTTTAATTCAAATTACTTTATCATAATTTCTCTAAGTTTTGGATCATCACTCTATTTTATAACACTCTATTATAATATAATGTTTTTAATTTAATACTTTGAATTCCTCATTTACACTTTGTAATAACTTATATTAATGATTAAATTTGTAACTAAGAGAATTTACTGCATGTGGTATTATTGTATTATGTGATATTAAGGATAGATAGAGTTTACGATTACAAATCATTAGATTTTAATAATCCTTTAAGGACAGAAATTATAATATCTTACTTTTTACTTTTGATGCCAAAACTAATTCAAAAGTTGTCATATTCCCTCCAATTAATGCCTTCTCATCTATAAAGCCTTACCTTTTTATATTGTTAAAATATGTAAAATCTTTTTATAGATTATTTATTTATTATTGTAAACCTTTATTTTGATTTTCATATCCATTACTTACTTCATTTAATCTTTATATTG